AGACCCATCTCTTTCCATATCTCTGTTCTCACAGAATGTGTGACACAGGAGAAGGACTATTCACTTTTCAAACAAGGGAAGGAGAAATGATCTATCAGAAGGTCCATTCTGCGACACTGGCCATAGCAGAGCAACACGAGAGATTAATGCTAGAAATGGAGCAGAAGGCCCGGGTAAGGCTCCTTCCTCTGTCACCTGACAACTTGCCAATGAATGTTACTGAGGGCTGACGTGCATCCTGTATATGTGAGTCCATTTGTGTCAGTACCTCGGTGTTTGTTCCTACTCAGACCCCAAGGCTCCTTCCTGTTACCAAGTTGCAAGGCCCATATTTTCATCTCTCATAATTAGTTGTGTGTGGCCACTAATTGCGAGAGCTGTGATCTGGGGGTGTACCTTTGTATGGCGTTTGCCTTGGTTATCCCAAAAGGGGTGGAATGCAGAGAGAATAATGTCTGAATAATGCTGTCTGCATATCTTGGCATATGGCTGCACAATCTCAGATTCAAATGAGGGCCCGCAGCCACTGGGAAAACTAAGTTCCTACCAAAAAGTCTTGCACTTGTTGTTTTTATCTTAGCCTAGGTGCTCTGAAACACCTAGCTCTTTCTGTCTATATTTCAGAGCCAATAACAAAATGTTTGCAGACTAGACTGTGCACCAGCAGAGAACCGTGTCTGTTGTCCTGTCCTGGAGCTGGTACAATACTTCCAGGGTCAAGCTGAGAAAGATTTCAGTAAGAAATCTAAAGTAATAAATTTTATAACTAGCTGAAAAAAAGTATAAATTTTCTACTTGTCAAAAGGGCAAACAATAGTATGCTATTAATTACAATTGTAAGGGATGCATAGCCTTTCTTTGAAATTCATAAAGGCATGAGATTTCATCCATGAGAGCACAGCTGATATTGTGGAAAATATCAGTAAGTCTATTTCAGTTTAAAATGATGAAATTTTATTAATTAGTATTATATTTGTTTTGATTTTTAAAATTCTATTTAGTATTTTGCGCTATAAGGAAACATTCTCCTTTTTGAAATAAAAAAGCGAAGTAGTTCAACAAATGATAATTATGTTCTTCTTAATGTTTATTTTTAATGCATTTCTAATTTTATCAATAGTGCATATATATTTGTATCTCTCCATCCAGCATATGATTGCATGTAATTAAAAGAGACTTCCTAAAACCCCAGGGGGTCAAGAACAAATCAGGATTGCACAGGACATTTGACCCTCCATGAGAACGGATGAGTAGTTTAAGCATTTGTAGATCATTAACATGTGACAGTGAAACTGATTAAAAATCATACATAGGGGGTTGCTTAGACATGTAATGAAATATATTCACGAAAGATTTGGGTTATATTTAACCATTGTAAGAGTTATCTAATTAATATGACATTTTTCTTCTGGATTAAATCAGGTGATAAAATAGAAATATCAAATTTCAAATAACTACAGCATCTCCCAAGTTCATTATTAGCCTGTATTTGCAATCTACAGACCCTCATTTTCAACCAAAGTTATCAATGGTGATGTCACTTACTGTTGTTTAACAGTTGTTCTTCACATATAGTTTAGACAGGCTAATCAGCAGAGTGATCTAAATTATATTTTCATGATGGAAATTCTGAAAGCTCTTTCATGCAACCACGACAGCCTGCCATAAAGGAGAGCTCCTCGTCTGTGCCCTGAGCTCCCATCCCGGTCATACCATTTACCTGCTGCACAGTCTTCGGCAAATTATTTAACCTCTAAGTACCTGGTTTTCCTTGATCTGTAGCACAGGGATACAGTAGTTTTACTAATTTCTGTTGTTAAGAGGTTTCTGGGGGCCAACAGATGGCAGAGAACTTATGGTGCTGGACTCCCACATGGAGGATGGTGGCTCAAGTCCCAGACCCAATAGCTTGAAACTCACACTGTGTGTGTGTGCATGTGTGCACATGTGCCCAAGATTGCAGAAGGAGAATGGAGGAGAAGAGATTGCAACCTGGCCATCCTCCCAGAGGGTGATTTCTTACTTTTTCTCTCACCATCTGTCTCACCCCACCCATATGTGCCCTAAAGCAAAAACCTCTAAAAAAAAGAAAAGAGAGAGAGAGAGAGGTTTCTGTGCATTCATCTATAAAGTACTGAGAAACAGATCAAGCTCATACTTTCAAGTATGTCTAAGAATCTTGTGCCCCAAAATTTACAAAACAAAATATCATTCACATGAGCTGTTGATGTGTGTTTAGCATGTTCTATGCAATTAAAAAGCAAGTCTAGAGCGTAGAGCCAAGTAAAGAATAAAAGCTTGGAGACAGTGGGGTGAATATCCATGATCTCATACTGACTAAAACTGAGTGCACACGACAGACGTGGGTACTGACTCTCAGAGCTGCAAGGAAAGAGCAGTGGAAGTTCCAACGGCAGTCTCCGTCAGGCTCAACAAGAGCTCTATAGACAGCACAGAATACGAGACTGCATCCCTTGGTGCAGATGTGTTAATGGAGCATTTGCTGTAATTTCAACCATGATTTCACTACCATTTTCTGAGGGTGAATGCTAGTAAAAATTGCGCCATGTCTTTTTTAGTTGCTGTTGTTAGTGAGAGATTTTTTTTTTTAATTGGGTGCATCCACTTTCCAGAGAGACATAAAGAGACAAACAGAATATGAGAAATCTCCCCCACCATCCCCGCCCAGGGGATGACCATGCTGCAGTCTCTTCTCATCTATTCTCTTCTTGGGATTTTGGGCATGCGTACACATGTGCCCAGCATGAGTTTCAAGCCTTGGGGTCCAGGACTCAAATCACGGTCCACTATGTGGGAGTTCGGTGATGTAACCATCACACCATCTACTGATCCCTGTGCTTATCTTTTACATCTTCTAAGGGTATACTACTTTAACTTGATAACTGCCCAAGTTCCCAAAATTCTAGGACCATAATGAAAGGTTTCTAGGTCTCCCAGATTCTTGGTCTTTCAAGATACTTTCTTTACATGCACAAAGCTCTTAACAAGTTCTAGAAAGTAGGCCTGTGCTACAAAGTAAGCAAAAGTGTAACTTGGGAGTTGGAACAATGCCAAAAACCCACCTAAAATACAGAGGTGTTGCATTTCATTTATAATGTAGCTACTACAAAATAAAAAGAGGGCATTGCTAATTGGCTTTCCAGTTTTAAGCCTTGGCTGTGTGAGATTAATATTGATCAGATTCAAAATGCTCGTATATTTTCATGCGATTTAAAGATATTATAAGATTCAGTTACAAAGGAACAATTCAGCAATGAATAACTCAACAGTTGTTTAGGCAATTGCAGCATTTGCCTTTATCCTCTTAAAGAGACGAGATTTAAAGCTGTCACTGGCTTTATAGATAAACAAATGAATGAGAAATACTGCCTCAATAGGTAGATTTCTTTCCTTTTTTTTAATTGTCAGAGACAGAGACAAAGAGAGACAGCACTGTCCCTGAATGGGGCATGGTCACACCACTGTCCTTTCTTTGTTTCTCCATCCTGTCAGGATTTGGGGCATTTGGGTGCGTTTTTAAAGCCACCAGCTGCAGGATTCAAACCATAGTCAGTCCTGTGGCATCCAGCTTCTTTAACCACAAGGCTACAGGGCTAGCCCAAGGGAAAAGCTTCAAAGCGATCTTTATATACTTATAAAACCTTGTTTTGTCCATGTTTATAACCTTCTTCTTGGGGACTGTATGAATAAAACATATTCTGATATATCTCTGTAATCTAAATTAGGCCATATTTTTATTCTTAAAGAATCTGCTATCTAGAAAAGAGATAGCATTATTGTTCTGCATGATGCTTGGAAATGTTTACATTTGCCTGTAAACAGAGTACTGTACAAACAAACCCCTAAATTAGTAAAGTGATATTTTAATTTCTTTCATGAGAAAGATAATGAAAGAATTATTTTTCACCAACTCAAAACATTTTTAGATTGAGGTTAGCTATTTATTAACCACTCACAAGTTTTTGAAGTGGTTACTCTGTGCCCGGTGCCCTGTAGGATGATACAAGAGGATGTAAGACAAGAGCATTAAGTTTGTTCTCTCAAATAGCCCAGAATTTTGTGGGATCAAATCACGTTTCCTGCCCAGAGCAAGATTATCTCATGTCCTTTGAGTCCTTGAAATATCAAAAAGTTGTCCATGCCTTAAAGTAACTGCAGGTAAGATAGCACCATTGTTTGTTTAAATTCATGCTGTACAGCACAAGCATGCATGAGAGAGAAAAGAAGCAACATCCTCGACAGGGTCTTGTCACACCGAGTCCCCTTCCCCCAGCCCTCTAGCTCCTCAGGACCTTGGACGCACATGTGCCAGGTGTGTCTGATTCCCACCATTCAGGATCCAGCCCCCAGTGGCCCACACGACCTCCAATATGCCATTAAATGTGGACCACCGTCACTAAATTTTGATACACAATCAAACACAGTGCTTGGGTTGTTCATGTTATGAGAATGGCGTCTAACTGATTTCTTGGATAGTCAACACACTGGAAGCTCCTCGGTCAAACCCCCTAGGGAACGCCTTCTGTGGTCCAGGAGACGCCCTTCCCTTCCTGTGTCTACAGGTGTAGCTATAGCTTCTCATCGCTACCTCCACGTGAGAATCAGAACACAGCCATGGCAGAAAAGGGATAGCCATCTTAAGTCAGCTCCATGTTTTCTTAATTTTTAAAATCCCAAGCCAGTTTTCATTTAAAAGGAGTTTTATTTTGAGGAGAAATAAACTAGGGTAAGACATTTAAAATTGGAGCTATTACTGAAAGATTACTAACATTCAAATCCTTGACTATCTGAGGAAGTGATTCCAGAGAGTAAACAACATGGCACCTATAGCGCGTGTCTCCATTCCACAGAGATCACTGTTGTGTGGTTTTTTCTTTTGGGGGTGGGGATTTTTGTTATAGGGAACATGTACTCATCAGAGAGACAGAGAGAGACAGAAAGCAAGAAATCACCCCCTAGGGAGATGGCCACACCACAATCCTTTCTCCTCCCTTCTACTCTCAGAATCTTGGGCATGCATGCACACATACCCAGTGTGAGATGGAAGTTACTGGGTCCAGGACTTGAGCCACAGTCAGACATGTGGGAATCCAGTGACATAATTGCTAGCCATCTTCAGGCCTTGATCTTTGTTGTTAGAGAGTTTTTTGAA